GTAATCAGAATATTGACTTGAAGTTAATTCATTCCCTTCAGAAGTCAGTAGTCCATTTACAACATTTTTATTTAATATCTAACAACCAACTAAGTAGATGCCAACGACTTAATATTAAATAAAAATATTGTAAATGGACTACTGACTTGGTTCTGTAGGAAAAATACTATTAAGGTGATGACAGCTACTACTTATCCATTAAGCAACTGCAATTCTAGTTCCATAATGTGCAAGCTAATTTCTGACCTAAAACTAAGACTGCGCCAGCTCCACAAATAGTGGGCAGGATGTTACCACCGCACATACTCTCACAGTTTAGAAGGAAGTATGAAATTTGCACACGGAGAGAAGCTGTGACAGCCTTTGGGAACTACTTGTGAAAGGCTTAGCTGACATCTAGCGGCAGGAGCAGGAAAAGTAAAAAATTCAACAGTGGAGAACAGAAATCGTTTTTTGTCTGAAAAAATGTATCATTCAATTTTTTTTAAAATAATAGGTGAAAAATTCAAGAAATGCTCTGAACACAGCAACTATTAAATGTACTTAAAAGTAAACCAGTAAAAACTAAGTATTTATGTCTACTGTATTACCCTTTCTAAAGATTATCTTTATGTGGATGATTCAGTTGAATTATGTACATTAATGAACCAATTAAGAGCTGTTATGAGTTATTCTGATTGTCATGCGATACGATACGGTACAGGTTAATCAATAATAGACTCAGTGCAATAAATATTGTAATCTTAATTTAATTAAGATGCACGCTACATGACTAGAATTGATTTCAAGTAACATAAAAAAAGGAACAAAGCTTCAAGTTACTGTGGCAGCATAAATATGGCAACATAAAATAAACACAATATTGTCATTCACCCTCCCTATCCAGTGATTGTTTTACGTCCTACATTCACTGCAACTTCAACTCTCTACAGAATGAGCATCAAGCCTCTCAAATTGGTGGTAAAACTCTGATTGTACGCTGGGGATTCCATCTGAAGGTTATAGGAAATTAACATAACAATAACAAATCTTAGAGAATAAAAATCCATTACGAAATTCATTCACATAGTCAAGGAAAAAATAACTTCCAAAAGAAATAGTACAGAAGTATAGAACACCTTCTATTGCTAAAGAGTAAACAGGTCTTTCACAAGCCACTATATACAGGTTTCAAGGGATATGTTCTGGATAAGTTTGTTTGCTTTCACTTCCAGAGGACAGTTTAATAATTTTTTCAGAACTTTTCCCTAAAGACTTTTCTAGGCATTTTAGGAATAACAAAGAATAAGGGTCTCCTAATGTTTTACAGAGAAGGTACGATGATACCTTCTTAATAAATACAAGAGATGGGATTTGGATCAACTTGCAAAAGAGCGGGTTCAGAGAAATTTCTGTCTCTAGGTTCCTTCAGCACGTAGTACAAAAATCACATTTAACCCAAGCATTTCCAATAGTTGGGATATCTACCACCATATTTTTCTGTTATACTCTTAAAGAATAAAATGCAACAAGTTATTACATTAAATCATGACACAATTTACTTCCCTATATGTTCCCATATGAAATTTTATAAAGTGAAGTTCCATATGTACAGCAGTATGTGGTAATTCATATTTTTTTTATCTTAAAATATATCTTTCCTTTCCTTTAAATAATGAAAAGCCACAAGAAAGAGAGTATACAGACAATGCCTGGCCTTCTCTAATGCATTCCATTTTTATCAGTGCAAATGCTGGTAACATAAAGCATGAACAAAAATCATGTCCCTTTGCTGTTATATTTAAATATTACAGACTGAACTGATTTCAGGGAAAAGTAGTAATTTTTAAATTAATCACAAAACCCAGGAAAAATCCTTTGAAATTAAAGACAAAACAATAAAGGCTAACAACAGAGATGCAGAGAAAAAATTTTTGTTCCTTAAAATATTTGAACATCAGGGACACAGGAGAAAGAACCTCTTAAAGTAGACAGGCTATATAAAAAAAAGGGAAAAAAGTTTGAAATTACACCCTTTCATTTAGAAAACTACTAAAACTTAGAAGCTGAACTAACAATTTATGATTTACCAAAGCAGCAGGACCATGTAGCAGCATCTGACTCTCAGATTTCACACACTATAAAAAAATAACATGCTGCAGTAAGATTTGACATTCACTTCACAAAATGAATAACTTAGTGTTGACCTTCTTCAGACACAGGATATATTAAGAACATAGGAAATCAATATTTTCAGCCCAAGTGTTTTTAAGATTATTAGTCTGGCACTATACAGAAATTTTCACATGGCATTCTACATGTTCCAGAGAAATAAACAGCTCAAAAACAACTGTACAAACAAAAAGGATGCGTCTATGACAGGTCATATTCCAGTAGGAGGAATTCCTTGCCAAGGACATACAGAAAAAGAACAGGAACACTAGTCAGATGGCGTAGCATTCAGAAGTCACAGAAGCATGCGTATAGTACATCAGTACTATATACCACAACCTGTGTGCAGACTCTCTTTCAGGAAACCCTTAAGGCATTAATTGCTGGAAATGGTATACTAGGGCAACATTTCTCAGTAATTTAGTCACTATGCATCTTTTATGAACGTGATGCCTTACACCAAGCTGGGCTGAGGTGCAAAAATCAAGCAGCACACTGTTAAGGAAGGGGCATGGAGGCAGCCGTAGTAGAAGCAACAAGGCAGAGACAACAAAGTCACTCAGAGTTGCCAAAAAAACCCAAATCAAAACAAAAAGCACCATACAGGAAGAAGGCATTACTCTTACACTCTGAATTTCTTGTAAGTGTTTTCTAAGCACCCAGTGCTGGTCGCTGGAGACAGGATACTGGCTTCATCTGGCCTTTGGTATAGGAAGTTTTTATATCCTTCAATATTGTAAAATGAAAAATCACATTACGTCTCAGGAATCATCGGTCTTACAAAGTTACAAACAGAATTCTGTGCAAGGTGTCCAGTAACTTATGAGTAACTCCAAAATGGAAAACCAAAAATCTTGTCTGAATTATGTCTTGCATACAATAAGCATAAGTATTATTTTTCTGAATCAATTATTTTCCTGATCGTCATGATGTAGACTTTACAATTCACTGCTGTTACCTAAAAGGCCTACAAAACATTTATATCACCTTTTCTGGTTTGAGTTTGGAACTATATAGTGTAAGATAAAACAGTACCAAACATGAAAATAACTGCCAAATACAAGCAATGTAAGAAAACACGATCTGTAGGACATTGCTGCTAAGAATGCAGAAGTTTTCTGCTACTAATCATGGACAGCAAATATTTGCATTTTAGCTCATTTCTAATTACATTTACATACATAGATGACGAGATTTTATGGTGCTGAAAGTTAGATCACAATTTCACTTTTCTGGAAACAACCCACTCACAATTTCCTTACTCTAAACAAGGTTATATATTAACACAACTAATCATTAAGACATGATGATATTTGAGGAAAACTCAAATTATCCAGATAAAAAACAATATTCTGATTTAAAAGAGAATGTTTGTATCATTCAAAGTTATGAGCAGAAAATAAATTAATCTACTTTTTCTCCAGTGCCTTTCAGAAAAGAAACTGTGCAAGATGAACATTCTTTTAATGAAAGATTAAATTGGAGAGATGTGCGATTTTTCATGGATGCGTGCCAAGTACCTGTCTTCTCTGCCTCTACAGCTTCCAGGGCTGCTGGAGGTACACAAACATATTTTTGTTTCTCATCAAGACTGTATTCTCTGAAATACCCTCTCAAAATGAATAAATCCCCCTTGCATCCATCTGCTGTGGGAGAGTTATGCTATTCTTCATAAGAAACATTATTAATAATATTTATTGTACATTGCTGTTGTATTGACTTTAGTGCTAGCTTGTATTTCCCTGTCCTGAATTTTAAGAGGTGCTGCACACACAAGAAACTCTTTGCCTGTCCTGTCCACTCCACAAGCTGCTACCATCATTCCACCCCCTTCTACGCAAAGATGCCACTGAGCTTTCTCAACTTCACAGGCTTTACATCCACTATGTCCTGGCCTTTGTGCAGACACAAAGACATAAATACTCTGTGTAATACAAATCTGGTACTCGTACTAGTCTGATGATTGCTATATATGATCTGCCCAATGACATTGTCAATGTATCAATACACTGGATTATCAGACTCCTTGTGTTAGTAATTTGCTTTTTTCTATTCCATTCACCTTAATGATGACAAAGAAAATATGGAATGTTTTGTACTTGACTTGTACACGAAGGATTTAGCATATGGACCTGTATCAGAACACAGTGCAGCTACATGTAAGAATGTATCATAATTGGTGAGAAAAGGAAGATGCTGTTAATTTTTCTTCAAAGTAGGACTGCTCAACAAATTCACTTTAAGTTATACTGCCGTTTAAGTTCCTGCTTTTATGAAAAAAAAAAAAAGAATTCCTTGTAATATTTCACTTTGCTTAGCAGAGTCAATCATGCCAACAGAAAGTAAGTTCTAATATTAAACTTTGTTATTTCTGTTTTTAATAATTAGACAGTTGGTGAAGTTTACATTTCCAAACCCAGACATGGTACAGTACAAAATTTCAGGAAGTCTCACAAATGGAATTATCATGCTTTTTTTTTCAGTCTAAAATTACAGAAAACTGCTTCTACAGAAGTATGTTTCACTGAGAAAGACTATTAAATGCCAGTGCCTTAACATAATAAGCAAATGTAACAGTACTGCACTGCTGAGTTAGAGGGAAGAATTTAAGAGTACAACAGTAAGTAAAACTACAAAAGGGAAACATATAAAACTGCTTTTTGCCATCAGATATGAGTGCATATATGGATTTTAATTAGATTAATTTTAACTGAGTTGGCAGTCAACTGAAAACAACTTTAGAAAAAAACAATTAAATTCTTAACATTTGGAAAATACATGTTTGCACTACTTAAATCAGTAAAATGCACTAGAGTCAGGGAAAGAAAAAAATAATTACAAAAGTATACCTTTAATGTTTCAATTTCTTCTTTGTGTTCTCTCTTTAAATGCAAAATGGCAGCCTGATACTCTGTAAAAATTAAAAAAAAAGTACATTCCATTAGAGTCAGAAAACAATGTGCCATCTTCAGCATAGTGTATTTCATACAACACTGTCGGTTCCAGAGTACAGATGTAGGCTCTCAAAAAACTTTTTACAGTGGTGATGGAAAAGAAGATCTGAACACAGTAATTAGCATTATCTTCTGAGACCACATGGCCAGATTTTCCATGGCTTCTGAAAGCAGAGAATAAAGCAGAGAGGTCTTCCATGCTGAGAGGGGAAAACTGGAGGAAGATGCATCAGACTGAAATAAGTGGAAACTTTAGTTTTGCAGATAAATGTAGAGCTGATGGGATATTATGACATACAAATCCATGCACACACACACATGAATTCTGAAAAAAAAAAAAAAAAAAAAAAAGGAATTAAATACAATGATTTAAACTGAACTGTAGACATACTATCACTATACACAGGCAAAAGGATAAAAGAGTAATCACAAATACAAATGAGGACCTGGAAAAGTACCAAACAACAAGAGATACAAATAATTCTTTGTCTTAATTCTATTAGATAAGGTTAATCACAGGGTTTAAGTACCTTCACAAGGTACTAAATAGCTCTGCCACTTAGTGAGAATATAACAAAACCCAAAGGTCTAACAAAATTGAAAGCATGAAACTTAAAGCCAGAGAAATTTAAATCAGTAATGAAAAAATGAGGAGGTTGGGCATTGATTACACAGGTTTAGTGATGGCTGTAATGTTATGGTGTAGATTTACCAAAAGGACTTCTAGAACCTGGGTCTCGTACCATGGTTTCCCTCAATCCATACCATGGCTACATTTGGCAGACAAAGAAAGAGAAGACCTTTCATTACAGCTGTGTAATGATTTAATAGAAGCCTGTCTTCTGTAAGACACTGGCCCAGAAGTTAAAGCCCTCCAAAAGAAGCAACTGGAGTTCATTCTTAGACCATCAAAGCCCCACTTCTATCTGCTTCCAAATCAAAATTAATCCAAAAGTGGATTTCCAGTTCCCTGGTTTGGCCTCTGCTTTCTAGACTAAAAAAGGAATCAAATCCTAATTTAAACAAGGATTGAAAATAGTCCAAAGACTTTAAATTTTACTGTCAATGTTCTCTAACACTAAGGGGTTTGTATGGTTCCTGGAACAGTAGAACCAATAAAACAGCATTAGAACATCAAAGCATGGACCAAAGCACCAGATGAGTAAAATATTCCAGTGCTTAGGTGCCTCTCCCCCCTTCTTTTTTTCTTTTTTCTCTTGAGAACACATGGAAGAAGGAGGAGAGGAAAGGAAAGATAACCTGGTCATCACCCTGACATCTGTATGACATGGAAGCTTTTAATGCAAAGTTATTTTTTTCAAACACAGGTGAAACTATACGCAAGCAGCTGAATTGATATAAAAAATCAAAAACAAAAGGGATCGATATTTTACAAGACACAAAATTTAAAAAATTGATTAATTCCAACTAGTAATAGTATTGTCATGGTTTAGCCCCAGCCGGCAGCTAAGCACCACGCAGCCGCTGGCTCACTCCCTGCCCCCAGTGATATGGGGGAGAGAATTGGAAAAAAAACTTTGTGGGTTGAGATAAAAACAGTTTAATAGGACAGAAAGAGAGAAAGAAACAACAATGATAACAACAATAATAATAACACCAACAAAGGAATGTACAAGAACAAGTGATGCCCAATACAGCAATTGCTCACCACCCCGTGATCGACAGCCCATCCCTGAGCAGCGATTTTCGTCCCCCGGCCAACTCCAGTTTATGTACTGGGCATGACGTCATATGGTAGGGAATATCTCTTTGGCCAGCCTGGGTCAGCTGTCCTGGCTATGCCCGCCCCTGCCAGCTTCCCCTGCACCCCCAGCCTGCTCGCTGGCAGCCCAGCACGAGAAGCTGGGCTGTCCTTGACTACTTAGCAACAACCCAAAACATCAGCACATTATCAACAGTTTCTCATCCCAATTCCAAAACATCGCCTCACACTAGCTTCTGTGAAGAAAACCAGCTCTATCCTGGCTGAAACCAGGACAAGTATCTGCATAAACTCTTCCTTCCTTGCCTCTACTTAGAGCTTTCCATCATGGGAAAACTGCCTGACTGCTCTGCTGAAATCACAACTGCTTAGGTCTATGGACTTTTGGATTTCCTGATGTTAATTCCTTTGACTGGTTGATATTCCCCCTGGATACAGGCTCTGCTTATCCATTCACCTAAACAGGATTTAACAAAACAGCTGCCTCAGCTCCCCAGAAAAAGTTGTGACCCTTATGGCACCTCAGGTGGTTAAGCACTCAAGTTTGCAGGGCATGAACCTTATGAACATCCTGACTTGAAGTTTAGCTCTTTAAGGTCACATGAGAACTAAAGCAAACAACAGGTTTTGAAAATGTTGCTAACAATCAGTTCTTAGTTTGGCTAAGAGAAGGATACAGATCTAGAGATTTCTTTTAGCAAAAGATCTGCTTTCAATGTGGGATTGCCCAATGCTTAACATTCTTCGGGATTCATTGGGTAAGAGAGTCATAGCTCACGTATGCTGACATAGACCTGCACTGGCACCAAAAGCAGATTTTTCACCATCTCCACCCATTCCCAAGCCTCTATTGCTTATCTTCTTATCTTGGCATAAACGTTTCTGCAGTCAGAGAATGATGGAAGAACCCCCATAGATGAAACCTAACACAGCATAAAAAGTTAGAGTTCTCAAAAAATTAAGTGTATGTCATTTTTGTGACATTTTGCAAGATACCATCATTTTAAGTTATTTAAGTAGGCACGTGTTTTTCATTACTTCTCCTAGCTGACAGCTCCGAAATAAGTTCTAGAGATTGCTTTGTTTTATCAGTTTGTTCTAAAGCAGAGGTAAGATAGGGAGTAGCAAATCTTTTATGGTTTACTTATTCCTTAAAAATATGCTTAAAAAGTACTAGATTATAAGAATTAATAAACCTAATTAATTAAGACACTGCTACTGCATAAAAGCAAGTGTACATAAACTGATATACTGTAACCTATTTAATAGATTGTCTGCTATGCAATAAAATGACATTCTACAGCATAAGTTTCTTTCTACCATTGTATTTCCTTCTTAACTAGATGAAACTATCTATTGGATAGAAGTAGACACCCAGTGAAGTACCTTTCTAAATCTCCTCAAGCAAACACTTATTTTTGTGTGTGAGATATTACAATGAAAAAGAAATCACATCACAATTATAGTTTTGTGTAATACAAATTGTCATGTCCGTTCCTTCCATATTTTTTTGTGAAGTACCTTAATTTGGTATAATTCTACATATATACTTAACATCCCAAGAAAATATGCTGCACACAGACATGGCAATCTGAATCGTTAAAACACTGAAGAATTTGACTAGAAAGAATAAATGCGTCCATATAATTCCAAAAATCACTTTCTGAACATATTAGCAACAGAATAATAAAGTTTAATTATGCAATGGTGTTGGGATGCTTTTTAGAATGCTAAAATCTCAAAGTAAACAATAATGACATGTTAGTGGAAAGAACTGTATTGCAAACAAAATATACATCAGGCTTTAAAAAATACTGAGTTCTTAAATTCCATTTAACTCACAAAACAGATTAATCTAGACTACAGAAACAATCCAGAAATACTGTAAACTCTAAATTATCCATGAGTGATTTGTCTAGGTTACAAATTAACTATGCCAAAGTTTAAGAAATCTGACAGGGCTGTGTGCAGCCAGCCTGATTCTCACATAATCATTGTAACTCATCCAGCCTTATTAGTTAAGACACATAATGTATGTGGATAGTTCTCAGAGCCAGCTGAGCTACAAGGTTGCAACTGAACTCTATGATCTCCCACTTCCTGGTGCTGCAATACCTTAAGGTCCTTCAAGACTGAGATGGAAATAAAGCTTCTAATAGCAGAACCAGAGAATGGCTGAGGTTGGAAGGGACCTCTGGAGGTATCTGGTCCAACTCTCCCCCTAGAGCTGCCTGCCCCAGGACCATGTCCAGACTGCTTTTGAATGCTTCCACAAATCTCCATCCTCATCCTCTGTGGGCAACCTATGCCAGTGCTTAGTCACCCTCAGAGTAACAAAGTGTTTCCTGATGTTTAGCTGGACGCTTCTGCATTTCAGTGTGTGCTCACACTGATCCTCTCACTGGGCACCACTGAAAAGAGCCTGACTCCCTCTTCTTTACACCCTACTTTATAGAGGCAAGCTGATCTTACGTCACAAGGTGACTCTACTGTATTCCACGCCAGCACATCCTCCAGTTTGTATAATGTCAGGGGAGTTGTATTTTCTGAGGTTTTAAAGTCTTCCATTACGCTGGATAACAGGAGGTTGATTGTACAAACATCCTATAGTACTTGCCTGGTCTCCAAACAGCCTGCCAGGAAGACAGTGGCTTTAGGGCATAAATAATTTAGCTATCCCCAATGCAGATACTACTCTGAAGAGCTTCTGAAACAAACATGTGCTGGTTTTGGCTGGGATAGAGGTAATTTTCTTCATAGAAGCTAGTATGAGACTGTGTTTTGGATTTGTGCTAAAAACAGCTGATCTGATAATAGAGGCATGTTTTTGCTATTGTTGAGCAGTGCTTGCACAGAGTCAAGTCCTCTTCTGCTCCACACACTACCCCACCAGCAAGTAGGCTGGGGGTGCACAAGAAGCTGGGAGACAACACAGCTGGGACAGCTGACCCCAAGGGATCAAAGGGATATTCCATACCATATGACATCATGCTCATCATATTATGCTGGAGGAAGAAGGAAGGGAGGGACATTTAGAGTTATGGCTTTTACCTTCCCAAGTAACTGTTACACGTGATGGAGCCCTGCTTTCCTGGGGATGGCTGAACACCTGCCTGCTGACAGAAGTGGTGAATGGATTCCTTGTTTTGCTTTGCTTGTTTGCACAGCTTTTACTTTACCTATTAAACTGTCTTTATCTCAACCCACGAGTTTTCTCACTTCTACTCTTTCAAT